GGAATAATACAGCTGAGAGATGATGATTTGGTAGGAGGGATGAGGGGATTCTAAACTCTGGGAATTTTTGATACATGGAGGTCAGTTGTTTGCATAACTGGTCTCCCTGCCTCAGTAAAGATGAATAAGGTCCAAAATGGACAGAACAAAAGGTCAGCAGCTTGGATTTCTCTCCAGGTTCTGGGTTCAAGAAAGCAGACCTTTGGATATTCTTCTAGGTTGGCCAACCCAGTGGTTCTCAAAATATGGTCCTGCAACATCAGCATTTCTAGGGAACTTGTTAGACAGGTTAAGTTCTTGGGTTCTACCTCAGACCCAGTGAATCAGAAACCCTGGGACTGGGATCTGTGAGATGTGCTTTAACAGGCCTCCCAGGTGGTTCCATGCATGCTAAAGCTGGACCAGCCCAATTTACCAGCTCAGGAAAGAATGGGGTAAATCAGGAATGAGAATGGATTCAAAATGAATACTTTGCAATTAACTAGATTTTTTTTTTACATAAAAAAAAAACATAAGAGAAGAAAGAAAGAAGCACGAAAGAAACATGCTAAGTTAAACATTCAGAAACCTAATCATAGTCAGGTGGTATGTCTTACAGCTGGATCCAACCATCTGATACTCATGTCTTTGGAGCAATTTTTGTTCTCTCTTTTGTCTTTTAAAATTTAAATACTGGTGAAAGGACTAAAAATCTTGTTGCTTAACATCTGACTCAGACAAAGTTTATCAGATCCTAAAAGTAAAGCAGAAAATAACCTAAGGGCTGAGGGCATGGCTCAGGGGTAGAGCCCTTGTTTAGGTCTAAGGTTCAATTTCCAGCACCTCAAAAAATAAAAACAGAAAAAATAAGAAAGAAAGAAAGAAAGAAAGAAAGAAAGAAAGAAAGAAAGAAAGAAAAGAAAAGAAAAAAGAAAATTACCTTTCTTTAGAGGTTAGAAATCATTGAACATTACTTTCAGATTCACAGTTTTAACAAAGACAAGTTGGCAATAAACTTGCCTATATAGGTTTTGTGTATCTGTAAATACAAACCATTATTCCAAATATTAATGCCATGCCGCCCACATCCAAGTTTTGTAATTTTTTTAAGTATATATAGATACTATAGTTATTACATTTCATGGTTTCTACCCAGGGTCAGAACATATCTGATATCCAAGATATGAGAGTTAGATAGCTATAATTTAATATGAATAGGAGAGTGACAACAGCAATGTGGTAGAATAAGAGGGTCCTGTCTCTCCAAATGGATGTGTCCCTCTACCCACAGACATACCAAGTAAACATCTACTCATGGACCAATTCCCTCTGAAGGCAAGTCAGAGACTCCTGCCCATCAGGCAACTGAGAAAGCACTCATGTCAAATGGGTAGGAAAAGATGAAGCATATTTGGATATGGACCTTTCCCCAGGTACTATGCCTTCATATCAAGAAAGCAATCCCTGACACAGCTTCTTCCTATGGAGAGAGGGGTTTGGACTTCCAAGAGCTAATTCTAAAGTTTCCCATGGTTTGGCTTTTAATTCACTAATTCTGGGAATGGAGTGTAATAGATATATAAGTCTTTCTAGATTGCAGGGGGGATCTGTGGTTTTATACCAATGCATAAGTATTTCTAGGGGCTTCAATCCCCAAGAGAAGAACAGAGAAAGTACTTTTAAAATACAACTCTTTTCCTTTCCCCCAGAGTGCCCAAACTTTCATAGGTAAGTCTTGAAGGATTTCATTCTCAACTTCTAAGCTCTGGGAATAGAAGGGTCTAGGCATATGGTGGTTTTATGTGGACATACACTCATTATACCCACTTGGGGGTAGTGCAGAAAAGGGACGGGAATATGCAGCACCTATTTTCTTTCTGGAAGGGGCTTAAGGTACATACATCCAGTGGCTATTGGGGAGTTGAATTCTAAAGAACTTGCATCAAGGAGCTACAAATAGTAGCCCTCTAGAAGCCAGAGTTTGGAACTTCATGAGACTTTCCTCCAGTTAACCCTAGTAATATAACCAGACTTACTTTTTTTTTCCTAGAAGGAATGAGGCCATATACTAAGTGCCTTAACTTCTATAGCTTCCACCCAAGGAACTGTCTCTTTACTGATCCAGCGGTCAATGGGGCTTTGCATTCTAAGAGACTCTAGACTATAGAAATCAAAGAGGATATCAAGGGACTCACTTCCAGCAGCTATCTGCCCAGGATCAGAGGGTATGATCTGAACCTGAATACAGGCATTTGCCCCAGATCCTACCCTTGGCTTAAGGTAAGAGAGTAGGCGACAAATATGTGTGCTTAGCTTCACTGTGAAGAGAGAAGGAAGTAGAACAGATATCCAATATCACAAACTTTCCAGCTGCATCTAGAGAATCTGGCAGGGTATTGACAGAACTTGGCACATCCTAATCTCCAGGGATCCAACAATGTCGAGACAGTATCCTAGACAATGATTTGGAAGGTACCTTAAAATCTCTAACTAGATGGATTGGCTGGAACCTTCTCCTACACAAGACCTGTCTGACAAGTTGTCTTAGCTTATGTGCAGAAACCAATACAGAAAGTCAAAAATAATGAAGAAACAAAAATATGTTCAAAATAAAAGAAGAAGGTAAATCTCCAGAAACTGATCTGAGTGAAGTGGAGATATGTGATTTACCCGGCAGGGAATTCAAAATAATGGTTGTAAAGATGCTCAGTGAGGTCAGGTAAGCAATGCAAGACTCAACTGAAAATTTCAACAAATACATAAGAACTATAAAAGTGTTCCAAACAGAAATAACAGAGCTCAAGATACCATAATTGAAATTAAACATTTTGTAGAGGGGTTCAATGGCATCTTGGATCAAAAAGAAGGGATCTATAACTCAAAAGATCGGTCACTAGAATCAGTCATCCTATCTAAGAAGCAAGAAGAAAAATGAATGAAAAAGAGTGAAGACAACTTGAGACTCCTTACGTTACAGCATCAAGCAGAAACAACTTAAACAGTGTGCCAGAAGGAAAAGAAGAGGAAAGGGGACACAAAACATATTCAGAGTAATAATAGCAATAAATGTCCCTTGCCTGGGGAGAAAATAGCCAAGTTCAGGAAGCCTGAAGGACATTAAATAAGACAAATCCAAAGACTCACAACAAGATACCCCACAATCAAATTGTCAAAAGTTAAAGACAAGGCTGGGAGTGCAGCTCATGGTAGAGTGCATGCTTGGCATGAATGAGCTCCTGATTTGGGAGTAAGGTCAGGATTTAAAAAAAAAAAAAAAAAGAAAAGCTAAGAACGAGTATTAAATGCAGCAAGGTAAAAGTGAATCATCCCATATAAGGGAACCTCCACAAGACTATGAGTGAATCCCTCAGCAGAAACCCTTGGAGGGAGTAGAGTGATAAATTCCAAATTCTGGAAGAAAAAAACCTGCCAACCAAGAATACTATACCCTGTGTCTTTCAAAACTGAAGAAGTGATAAAAACTTTCTCAAACAAAAGCTGAGAGAATTTATCTCCACCAGAGTTACCTTACAAGAAAAGCTACTGGAAGTTCTTCAAGCTGAAGAAAGAGAGTGCTAATTAATGACACGATGACATATGGAAGTATAAAACACACTGATGAAAGTCAAAAGCAGAAGACTCTAATACCACAATAATGGTGGGTAAACCAATTATATCTCTGGTATACCAACAAGAAAGACAACATAACTTATTAAGTTATAAAAACTATAAAAAGATGTAAAATATGACATCAAAGTCATAAAGCACATGAGGAGGGGGAAGTAAAACGTGTAGAGTGTATACGTATGTGATCAAAATTAAGTTGTTATCTGCTTGTAGATATAAAAATAGGATTCTAGTTTATGGATTTGCTAACTTGTTACCAACATCATCTATAGAACAACTTTCGGCTGAGTTGCTATTAAAACAATTTTAATGTCACAGTATTAATTACTTCTTCCTGATATAAAACACATTTACTTTCAGCCCAGATTACATTCAATGTGGTGAGTCAATGACTGCCTTCCCAAAAAAGAGACCTCTGCATTTCCTGTTAGTGTTCTCAGACTTCAGTTTTAAATTAAAACTCTCCATCGAGCTTACCTGTCATCACAACAAAACATTTCAATAAAAAATAAAAAGTGCATAGAAGGAATATGCATTGGWTGCTATGTAAATAAGGAAGTAAATAAAATTCCAGCTAAACATAGTATTTTGGATTGGATTCAATGCTCATGTCAACTATCAATTACATAATTGTTAATACTGTCACTTGTATCAGGCCCATAAAAATGTTCTCTAAAATAATGTAAGGCCAGTAAAGTAGAAAATGGGGATTGAGGAGGGAGGGGGAAGAAAAAGGGAGGCATAGGAGAATAAAATAGATTAATTTATACAATGTGCATTATGTACATATCACAATGAATCTCACTATTACATATAATTAAAATGCACCAATAAAAATAAAATTAAAGTGTTCTCTACTTGTTAACAAAAAAACATGAAGAAGATCCCATGTAATTCATGGGTGTCACGAGCCATCCATGGGCTATGTGTGTGAGCTTTGCACATTTGAGCTTATAAGGGGACTGATCTGGCATTGCGTGCTTTTTGGGCTGTATGACAGACGCATGAGTGCCTTTTCTCTTGTTCTACCTGTGATCCCACATAGCACCTGAGATGGGTGTGGCTTTCCAAGATGTCAATCAACCTGCTAACCACAAGACATCACCAAGCAAGACTCCACCCTTCAAAACCTAATCCCTTGCCTTATTTGGGTGAAATATTCTATGAATGGCTTTTCCCCAATAAATAGGGGGGTTTCAGGTGTGCTCTCTCTCTCTTGCCTCTTGCCTCCCTTGCTCCCCTTGCCTTCCAGAGTGGAACTAAAACCTGAGGTCTCAGAGCCATCCCTGACCCTGCAAAAAGGTATTTCTGTGTTTGTGTGGTTTTTTAGTGCCAGCCTGGCCAGCTGATGACACATGGGATTTTACAGAAGAAACAAAAGTGTTTTTACCAACCTGGGCTGAGAAACCACAGAAGAATCCAAACCAGAAGTGCACAAGTGTAAATGCAAAATTCTTGTAGAAGAAATAGCACAAGAATTTGCACATTCGGAAATAGGACCACCTTCCATGAACAAGGAGAAGCCTTTGGAGATATCTAAACTGTGCAAATGAATAGTCACTGGCTAAGACTGCTTGCAGTCCTTCCTGGCCACTGATGCCAATGCCAATGTGAGCACCTACAAAGGAAGAGAAGAACACTTTCACTCCCAACAGGAAGACACAAAATCTTCTGTGAACTTAGCCATGCCTTTTATATGTCATTCATTTTTGGAAACTTATAGCAATTATAAATTTTCACATATATTATGTCATGAAACACTTCCAATGAGTATTAACCCTAGTTTTATATAAGAGGAAATGGAGCTCAGAAAAGTTTAGTACTTCTACAGGTTTTACAATTTGTAAGTGGCAAAGATGGGGTTAAACCCACATGTTGCAAAATGGCTCTTAATTCTTTCTATACTCTAGCTACTTATCTCCCCACACAGTATTAGGTAACCAATGTCCTTTTCTTTAACCTAAAATCACACAAATGATTCGATTAAAGACATACCAATCTTATGAATTGAAATAATGGTGGAAGCATTGGACCCAGAAAGTATCATTATTTAAGAACTACAGCAAAATTAAATTTTAATGCAATCTCTAGCACACATTACCAAATGCTGAACCTGAGGATTCTAGATATACAACATGCCCCTTGAGCAGATATCCTCTTACTTTTAATCATGCTGACATCATTGGCTCCATCACCGATGGCCAAAGTGACAGCATTTCTGTGTTTTTTCACCAGCTCAACTACTTGAGCTTTCTGGAGTGGGGTAACTCTGCAGCAAACCACAGTCTTACACAGGCAGGCAAGCTCTAAGAGATCTTTCTTGACATCACTTTCTAGGGCATGAGCCTGTGTTATTAAAAAAAAAATCAGAAAAGAACAAGCAACAATAAATGAAGGTTGCTGAGAAACAAATCTCTTGTTTTCTTAACTGCTTTTTAAAACCATTTGATTCACTTCAAGTCATTGTTGATCCAGAGGCACAAAAGCAAACAAAACCAAAGAAACTAGTATCAAACTTCCAGTAAGCACCAAGGAATTTAAAAATAAAAATGAAGACTACGCCCTTCATGTGTCTTCCTGAACACCTTACCAGGCTACACTGGTAAGAGATAGTTAAATGCTGGAAAAGTTCTAGAAACCACTAAGTTTAGAGAAAGCAAAAGACAAAAATTGATTCATCATCTCTCCAAATTTAGATGGAACTACAAATGTTAGTGATTTGTTTGTTCTTTGTGACAGGGTGTTTGTCTCCTTTGCATTGTTTTTGAAGAACACAGCTACTGAACTGTGCTAAAGGGTGGCATGGAACCCACATCTCAAACAGGGTCCCTGCAGTCATTTCCACCCTCACTCCTCTCCAAATACAGAAGAGGCTTCAGCATGCTAGAAAAGTATTGAAACATAACATAATCCCCTCCAACTCACTGTACAATTATTTTTCTAGGAAAAAAAAATGTCACCGTATATCCTTGAATAAACACATTTAGAGGAAACGGGAATCTACTTAAACTTTGAGTCACGGGTTATCTTTTAGCAAGACATTAACAGCACATGATGATCTGGCCCATACATTCCTTTGGAGTTTTATCTTCAATCATGACCTTTAAGTCCACTGTTTCTTTGCTTCTGCCAAATTGTTTGCTTCCTAAGATTTACTAGGTTTTTTCTTGTCTCTGTGCCTTTGTACTTGCTGTCATCTCTACTTTAAACCATTGTTTCCTCCAGAAAGTCCTCCCTGATTTTTTTTACAGGGAATTAAATGTACCTGCCTCTATGTTCTCAAAGCATTGTGTTCATTCTTCTTTTCTAGTTTTTGCTATATCACCAGACAGCAATCCCTAAAACAGTGGCCATGTTCTATTATCCTTGGACTCTAGTACTGTGACCTGGGCATGTTTCATAAATGACAACGGTATGAATGGATGGATGGATGGATGGTTGAAAGAATATAAAAACATAATTCTGGCATAGAAAATTCTATCTCCAAACCTATAATTCCTATAGGAAATTATGAATCTRCACTCTCAAATATCATCACCTTTTCTGGAAAAGAACGCATGTAATTGGCACTCTTGCTCAGAACAGTCCTCTTTTCTTTCTACTCTTAGAAAAAGCTAGACTAAGACTCTGAGAAAGAGTCTTAGTCTTTACATTCTGTAAAGCATCAGCATTTGAGCAAATTAGAATTATGATTTAAAAAAAAAACAAAAACACAAAAACCTTCCAACCACACTAGCAAAACACAGAGTCAGTTCTCCTTAAACAATAAAGTGACATTTCATGGTTTCATGCCTATCAGGCTTTGAAGCTAAAGGGGTTCCTAAAGACATCTATCTTAGATCCTTCTTTCAACAAATTTAGAGACAGAGAGAGAGGGAATGGAGTAAATTATCACCTGAGCACTCTCACCCTACCACACAGTGTTTCTCTGAGCCTGAGGGAAAGTTGAAGCAGGACTCATAGGGGATCCTTTCCCTATTGTGGTCCCTGGAAAACTCAGCTTGGAGACTACCAGCCTCAAATCCCAGCTGGCAGTATTATAATTTTCAGTTGCTGTTCATCTGAGCAAGGAAGCAGTTCATGTCATCTGGACCAACTTTCGACTGAGCTTGGCCTGCGCCCGAGCTCTGTAACTTTCCATGGTGTAGAAGGCAACACATCATTACGTCTGGAGTCCAGCTGGATAATGCTCTAAGCACTAAGAGCTAACAGACAGACAATCACAAGGGGGAAAATGCACTCTACTCACATCCAACTTCTTTTGTCCTCTAAGAAACTGTCTACAAGAAGAAACATTTATTTTCCAAACTCCAAAAATGAAAAATGATCGTCAAAGCCAAAGAAAGATGTGAGATTAGCTCTTTGTGCATACAAATGATAATTTCACTAGAGTGCCATCAGAGCTTTTGTATTCTGAATTAGAAACTCAGAAGAGCGTTTTGATATTTGTTCAAGATTTGGAACCTGAACTACATCAAAAGTACAATGCAAGTTTATTCTATTATGACAAGAACCAGATTTCCTAATCAAAGCAAATTGTTTGGCATTGCTGTAAAATGCTGCTATTTAGAAAAACCACCAGAGGTATCTTAATGGCAATAATTTGGTGTGGTAATTATATGAAGGTCAGGTTATGCTCTGCAAAGCACAAACATTAACAAGAGCAAGAATTCGCCCATCCAGTTGCATTACTTTAATTAAATAACAGCGAGCTGTGACACTCCCCCTTAAAGCCCTTAAATAATACTGCTAAGTGGTCTACAGTCATTTAGACAAGACTGATATTCTGTGACTAGAGTGTTGCTTTGGAGACTCCCTTTTACTGTGATGGTTCAAACAATAATGTATGAAATATATATTAGAAGTTTCCTTTCTCTTTGCAACAGGAAATCATTGTGTATGCTCTGCTTCTTGTAGTGCCATTTGTTTGAAAAACACAAAAAGAGTTCTCATTATGACAGCACAAAAGAGATGATTATTGAGGAAAAGAAGAAGAAAAGACAAAAGCCTGAAGCAAACTCACCAAACTGTGGCCATTTATGACTAAGGCATAATCTCCTGTTATGGTTTCTTCTACCACAGAGTCCAGCTCCAACTGCTGCTTGTTTTCACTAACTACATGACCATTGGAAAAACTTCTGTTTTGTCCAAACAGATTTTCCTTTGCTTTCCTTAAAGAACAAGGGGAAAAGAAAATCATAACAGAACATATGGAGCATACATACTAACTCTTATAAAAGGCTGGCCTAAAAGATTAAATTCATTTCTTCACCACGCAGACTGAGGATGGCATAAGATCCAGTTTCAGCAAGCAAGCTGGGAATTCTTTGTGATGGGGAGACCATAGCAAATTTCTGAATTCCAGGAAATAGGCGGGTGAACACAGTGAAAACAAAATCATCCTGAATGTTTTATATTATCTAAAAGGTAAATCACCATCTTGAGCAGGGTTTATCCAGGGAATCTTGGTAGACTTAGTATAGAAGACCTGAAGAACCACTCTGTGGCACACAATGTTGTTAAATAATGGAAAGCAAAACAACTGAAGAAAATTGATGAAAATCTTCTAAGAATTCCAGGGCATCTGTAAATGTATAAGTTCATCAATTTGAGGGACCATGTAATATGATCTGGCTTAAAATGGGAGTCCTCTGAGACATGTGTTCTTTAAAATTTTGACAATAAAAATAAATGATGCTATTTACTAGTCATTATAAAAAATAGAAAATTTTAAGCTAAATTTATATTCATCAGTTCAAACCATAGAATTAATCTCCTGGGAAAGAAACGACGACACCCAAGTGTAGAGGAGGGGCATTCCAAGTAGAAACTCCGTCCAAATGCTCCAGCTCTCACTAGCAGTAGCTGTTGAAGAATCCTGCCTACACTCCATCTCCTCCATATAAGAAGAAGCATAGATGATGACATAGCATCCTTAGAAGTGACATCTTACTGCTTGTTTCAAAATGCTAAGACACCGGAAATTTCTTCCCTGTGAACTCCTCAGTGACAGGCTTTGAGGTAACATAGGTAGGCTGACCTGACTACAGGAGGCTTCAACCACAACCTGAGACCCCCCAGCAGTTGCCCCCTGAAGAGGGGTGCTAACACCAGTCACCAACCCTTTAAGGCACATGTACAAAGTGAGTACTCAGAAGAAAATGGGAAGTGAGAGCTGAACTAGAATAGTGGATATTTGGGTTTAATGCAAAATGGACTGGGCTCCCTAAAGGCTCATTTGATGTAAAAAAAATGTTTATTAAAATGGTTTTATGCAAAGGTTCCTCTGAAAGAAGAGAACAACCACTGTATCCAAACAACCATTTGAGCCTTCATTTTTCTAATTATTTGAAAATGCAACACTAATTGTCTACATACTATATTTAAAGAACAAAACCAAAACAACATCAACAACAACAAAAGCAACCTTATCCTCTGGCTCAACATCTCCTTCTGCTGTCCAGGACCAAAATCACAGCCTGCACTTAAGAACCCAGAGGTCACATGCTCTTGGCTCCAAGGATGCCATCATGCATTTAGCAACTAGTTTGCAGAATCAAAGAAAAAGATTTATAAAGTCAGAGTGCTACGTGTGAAATTTAGGGAGTTACAGTGGGAAGGGGGAGGAAGAGAAAACATGAAAAAAATCAGTGTTGTAACTGATCAGACTTTCACTACAGATAACCATGTCAGGGAATCCTCATAGTCATGAAAATTTATAGTCCCAGATAATGAAGAAAGCAAGGGAGACAAGTTCCTTCAAAATGAACATTTCTCTGACAATGCTTTAGAGCTCATAAATAGGATCTTAAGAAAGCACCACAGGGAAAACATTTCCCAAGGTTTCCTTTTTAGTAAAGTTCTCATTCGCTGTATAAATGACTCAACCTCTGTTTTCCCCTCAGAGAATGAAAACATTCCAAAGAAGGGCGAAGTTCATGAAAGTATTGGCTGAAATTCTATTTATTTATGACCCCCCCCCTTACAAAAAACTGTCTTCCTAACATCTGACATGAACCCTCTTCCAGACAGAAAAGGGACAGTTCTCCAACTCTRTTTAAATTCCCACTGCCCTCTCCTCGCAAGCCATCACTCCATGCCAGATTAGGCGCTCACGTTTTCAGACCTTTGTCCACGTTCTGTAACTGTCATTTCTTTTTACTCCAGAAACTCGGCTCTTCAAACACCAGCTGGTTCTTGCAAAAACAATTTATTAGAAAGGAGAAAAAGCTGCACATAATTCCCTTCAATGGATATAGCTATACATTTTTTGCAGGCATAACACACAATGCTTAGCCACAGGATTCAAATAACAAATGCTAAAACAAAAGAATGCCTGTGTTTTGCAAGCTTTGTAATGTAGGGCAGTTTATTCTGTTTTTGACAGCAGAAATGCATTAGTAGTTGAGGTAACTGTGGCATTGGCAGCCCTATACCATCACAGGCACAGCAGACTAATTAGGTCTGTACTTGCTGGAGGGCAATCTATCAAGAACAAAAGAGACGGTAGAAAAGAAAGTCATTCTGTCTGTCCTTGAAGGTACTCTATATTAAATATTAAAAGGATCTGTTAGGAAGTGAATTAACACCATGACACCATGTTTAAAAGAAGACAATTTGGACTTTGATGTAAAAGTTACAGCTCTGGGCTTGGTGACAGGAGACCTGAGTACAGGCTCACTGTTGAGTTACCTGACCCTCCTCCCCCCACCTTTTTCTTCTCTCTTTCTCTATTTTTTTTTTTTGTGTGTGTGTGTGATTTTGGGGATTGAACCCACTGAACTCCATCCACAGTCCTTTTTATTTTTTATTTTGAGACAGGGTCTCACGAAGTGGATGAAGCTGTCCTGGAACACGTGTCCCCCCGCCTCAGCCTTCCGAGTCACCGGGATTGCAGGCATGCACCACTGCATCCGGTGAGTTATGTGGCTTCTGACCACTGGCTTAATCAGCGACAGACCTCGATTTTAAATTCCTAATTCTCCATCTACCACACCACAAGCTGCCTCCAGGTTGAACTAGATAGGGCACAGTGACAGAGGGGCATTTAACGGAATAGTACCACCCTGCCCACAGTAGAAAAAGGGAGAGAGTACATGAGGCTTTTATTTCCAGTCCCAGTTCCATCATCCTTTTCATAAGAAAGGCCTATAAGACATTCAACCCCTGAAACATTTTCATTATTAGAAATGTGGGGAACGGGACCGGCCAGTCAGACTGGTTGGTGCACCAACCAGTGAAAAGAGATGCCAGCTATGAAACCTTGGGTAGCTGCATCACTATATGTTAGAAGACAATTTATAAGAAAACCTTAACTTATTAAAACACTTTGGGCAACTAGAAGTTGAAAATTGGGACCAAGATGCATTTCTATGGCCTGAATGGTATTGAAGAAACCGGTAGGACTCAATGAGCAGTATGTTGTTCCCCTTCACCTAAAGCTTCACCACACTCTTAATGTCTTACAAATAACCTAGATAGCACTAATGTTACCTGAACATCCAAACCAATAACTTCCCACTAAGTAGGTGTTCAAAAAACACCAATGTACTTTTGTTTTGACTATAGAGGAAACATCGATTTCCAGGTTTATCACTGGGATACCTCTCAAAAGCTGTGAAGTCACTGCATGGTTTAATTAGTTAAAAGGACATAAATTTTTCTAAGAAAAAACAAGTGATCAGTGCTACAAAAATGAAATATGGAATGAGTTCTTCTGTCAGACCAAACAAAATTACATTCTCAGCCTGTTTTCCTTTGGGCCAAAGACATGCATTGGTGAAATATAATCAATGCAGTAATCTTCTGAGAAACCATAGCAGGGTTTAATTCTAGATTTCTGGGCATGCCCTTAATACTAAAGCAGCTACAGAAGCAAAATTAAGCCAGGACTTCAAGTGTTTAAAATGGTTTAAAGACACTAAATTTGAAACAAGCCGTGTGTATGATATGCATGAAAATCACATATCCATGTTTATGAAATAATCTAAATATATTTGACAGGTTTAAATATAACCATTTAGGTCATTTCCTTCCAATAGCTACTATCACTCAGATTTTGTTCTTTTGATACACTTTCTTTCCATGAACTTTCACTGAACTCAAAAGCATAACACAAGAAAATGGAATCATGCAAATTTATGATTTCAATTTTTCATCCCTAAAACTGTGGGCTTGGGTAAAAGTATGTTAAGATTCTTATAGCCCAATCATTTCATCTCTAAACTTTCTTTCATTGTCTCACACATAAGCTTTTGGGGGATACCACATATCTAAACCATAATGCACACGGACAGATGTGTTTTATATGTACATATATATAAAGAACAAATATATGTATGCACATAAAATTTTTGCAAAAAATATATTACACTATACATGAAGTTTTATAATCTCATTTTTGCTTAAATATATGGTTGGCATCTTCCAAAGTCAGTAAATACATAATCATTTTTATGGATTGCATAGTGTTCCATTGCATATCTATATCACAGTATTTGACAAAACATTTCATGACTGGGTATTTGACCTACTTATATTTTCTATTATTATAACTGATACAGCAGTAAATATTTCCTTCTATACTTATTAATAATTCCACTATTTTTCTTAAGGGAACTTGCTAGAAGTAGGAATCACTGGGTCAAAAGTAGGCATACACATAATTTGGAATACATTGCTAATATGCCCTCTAAATAGTTTCTACCAATTTGCAGTTCCAACAACAGCACATAAATAATGTACATTTCTTCCACCCTATGACAGTGATGTCATCTCTCTATTCTACCAAATGAAGCCAAACAAACTCTTGAGACACCACCTCAACCGCTCCTTCTACAACCACCATCAAGATTTCAGGTGACCCTTTCTATCTACTCAGAAATGTGCCTGGCCTAAGAAGGACCTGACAAAGCCAAATGCAGAGGGAAAGGAATCAAATTCTTGTTTTTCGAGCACAAAAATAGATTCTCAAAACTCATAGCAGAGTCATCATTCTGAACACCAGCCATCCAGAATTTTACTGATTGAGCTTTTTGAGAGGAAATAAAAGTTTCTTCAAGTCTCAAAACACTAATTCTGAAAGAAATCAGGGCATAAAATATTGCCATACAAAGAATAATAGAGCAGCTTACGTACTGGTGAGTTGCTAAAAGAAAGCTGGGTCCTGACA